TTTTATATATATATATATATATATGTATGTATATATAGGCTCTAAATAAATATATAGGCATTTATTATGACTATCAAGATGTATTATTATAGGTTATATGTGTACTGTAGTATTATATATATATACATAAAGAATCAGGTCTTCTAGTGTCTGATTCTTCTTATTAAGGAATATGTATACTTGTGCCATTTCTGGCTATTTATCCTTTTTTATTTATTTGTATGTTTGTTGGAAATTGAATTGTTAATGTGATTTCCTCATACTTGTGGTTTTCCTGTATTATAATTTGTAGAAGATTTATTAGTGCTCAGATATTGGTATATAAGCTATTTAATATAAAATACACTCATGCATCACTTAACATCCACGATATGTTCTGTGAAGTAGGACATTGTGTGATTTGAATGTTGTGCAAAGACATATTGTAGTCTGGTCCTGCTTTTTCTTTAAGCTTCTCAAACAAGCTCCTTGCCTTAGCAGTGATCATCAACATACGGAGAGGTATTTGTTTTTGTTTTTTTTGTATTTGGTCCTTAATCCATGTCATTAGCAATTTCTTCATATGTGATGTAGGTCCCTCTTGCATTTTTGTTATCCTTGTAGCTTCCTGTAGAGCCAGTCCTTCAACAGCTTAGAGAATTTTTTCTTTGTTTTTGAGGATCCTGGTAATTGTTGAATATGACATACTTAATCGCAAGCAATAGCATTCACTGATTTTTCACCATCGTGTTGTTTAACTATCTTTTGTTTCACATCCAAATCAATACTTTCCCTTTGCTTCCTGCTGCTGCTATCACTAGCACCGGTTTCCCTGCATTTGGGAGCCATGATGTACTTGATGGTAATATTTTTGAAAGAAAATTAAACAGAGAGATAAGCTACAACATGTAAGACATATGTAATACACGAGATTGGTTAATGCTGCCTAGAAGATGAAGCATACACTGTTATATGGTAAACTTTTTAGACAGAAAGTACAGTATAATGTATACATTTAGCCAATAACATAGGCATTTATTATGACTCTCAGGATGTATTATTATAGGTTATATATGTACTGTAGCATTATATGCTTGGCAGTGCAAAGGCTTTGTATACAATAGACATGAGATACATATGTTATGTGTGGGAAACTTGCATTGCTACATCCCATTTTCCAATCAGGATTTCTGGACTCTGTTAAAACCTTATGGGACCAAAGATGGAGGAATAGGCAGACAAGCTACATAGACCCTCTTCAACAAAGATAAGAAAAACCAATTGACATAGGTACAGAAGATAATCCTAGAGCCCTGAGCTTTGGAAGGAAGTATACAGAAGTGGATTAGGCATCAACTACTGGAAAAACCTGAACTAAAACAGTGAGTATGGAGATGGTCAGAACACTGGACTGTCAGCTACTCTGATGAGACCAATAGCCTGAATATTTCTGCAAGCTGTTGGGACCTGAGAATTGACCTGAAAATCAGCCTTGGTTGCCAAGGGCTGCAGGGACAATTGCGCTGGTGGCCTATGACTAGGAAAGGAAACAGCAAGGAGGGACACAGCCTGAGCTGTTGACTTTCTGCCATCTGAAGGGTGCAACCATTTTGATTATTTACATACAGTGGCCATTTTGGATATTTAAAATGACCGAGGGCTCAGCCACTTTGAATGTTGAAAAGCGGTAGCCATTTTGAACATTTAAAGAGACCAAGAGTGCAGCCATTTTGAATCTTTACAAGCAGCAGCCATTTTGGATATTTAAAGTGACCAAGAGTGAAGCCATTTTGAATCTTTACAAATGGTGGCCATTTTGGATTTTAAAGTGACAGCATTCTCATTCGGATTCCAGGGACCTAAGAATAGGCTCTATTTGCCAAGGACGGCAAGGACATATGGGAGGCAGACAACAGGAAAGGAGATAGGTGGTGAGTGTATAAATGCTGCCAATTAGTGAATAGAGGAGCACAGTACAGTACCCTGCTTGCATAGATAACATACAAACAAAACAAAGAAAAGTAAAATCGTGGGCAAGTCACTCCAACATACAATCACCAACTAAATATAAACACAAAAATGTCACAATGCCTTAGAGACAACAGAGCATCAGAGTCTGCACAAAGAAGCAAGATAAAGCAGGAGAAACAAGGGACCCAAAACACATCCCTGAGGAAGACGCAGCATTGTTACTCCCTGATAAGGAATTCAAAAGAATTGTATTTAGGTATTTTCAAC